CCTTCACTTTTGATTTCACTTCCCAAATTGTTTCTCCTTTCAAGTGCTATATTATTCTCTGGCTAAAATAAAAAATCTTGCTCTTCTGTTGTTTGTACCATCCTAACTTATGATGCCCTCTTTCCCCATTTTGCAGTCCTACAAGTGATGGCCTGCAGCCACTGCCTGGGCTCTTCAGGCTCAGGGCTGTGCTCTGTAGATCCCAGTGCCTGGGGACTTCCCCAGGATTTCTCACTCTGCATCAGTGGATGGTGTCTATCCTGAGTCCTGAGAGTAGCTGAGGTTTTTGGACAGGCCAAGCCTGAGATGACTATATCATCTATGGTCAATATGTGGGATGGTAGGAAGGTGGACTGCAGTCAGCCTGAAATTTAGCTGATGAGAGCTCATAGAGGTAAGCTGGGATACCTGGGTGCAGTGGAGTCAAGGGCAACTGCAAATATGCTGGTAGCATGGAGGTTGGGACTGGTGAGAAGACTGAAGTCGCTCCATCTGGTGATAATACAATCTCTGCAAAGGTCCTGGTGCCAGGACTGGACAAGCCCTAAGCAGCCCTTCAGATCTGCCTCTGTCATCTGGACATTCAGCTTGAGACCTGCTTAATGAGGCTGAGCTAGGAATTGTTTTGACTGAGTGTCTGAGCTGGAATTCCTCGAATAAAATTGTTGTTATTCTCTGCAGCCTCTTACAAGCTTGATTATTCCACTAGAGATATTTTGAGACCAATCCCATGAATATTTTTTGAGCTTATTAAAAGCCTGTCTTAAAACTGGCACATACAAGCAGCAATCTATGAAAACCTGGCACTGGCACACCAAACCGCATTGTACTGGGCATAATATTGATGTTTGCTGAATATTTACAGCATTAAAGCAACGGTTCATTTAAAGGAAACAATTTGGAAAGAAGCTTACACTGAAAGCACTAAGTAAATTATATCAAATACCATATGAGCTTTGATACAGCGTAAGTGAAGCATTAAAGCCAGCTAGGGCTGTTCTGATAAAAGATATAGGGCTATGTCTGAAGTTCTGCATAGAAATTAGTGAATTAGCATAGATTTCACTTGCATAACATTATGTATTTTTTATACAGAGAGACATTTTAGAGAAAGTGATTCAGAATTGTGTCAAGTAAGTGTGCACAGGAGGTGAACTTGGTTTTCCCATATGAGTTCAACATCTAACCTTGCAGATTGACCCAGGTCTGTGCCTGGAATTTGGTTTGACTGCCGTGACTCACAAAACAAGACACAAGCTGTTTAGGCAGGATGAAGATGAAGGAATAAATCTGAGCTCAAGAGAATGTGGCTTTTGGTGGTGGGCAAACACTCAGCATGTTCTGATGGACCCGAGGAATGTTCTGTAGGATGGACCCGAGCATGTTCTGTAGGACCCAAGGATACAGCCAGAAGTTATACCAGAGGAGATTTAGGTTGGACATTAGGAGAAACTTTTTCTCTCAAAAGGTGGTCAGGCACTGGAATGGCTGCCCAGGGAGGTGGTGGAGTCGCCATCCCTGGTAGTGTTCAAGAGGCATCTGGATGAGGAGCTACGAGAGATGGTTTTAGTGCTTGTGGTACTGATAGGAATGGGAGGGTGGTTGGACTAGATGATCTTGCAGGTCGTTTCCAACCTTGTGATTCTGTGATTCTAGGGATGAAGAGCAGAGAAAGCATTTTCCCCAGCAGTGATAATGCTGATACATTATAGGGTAGCAGAAAAATGCAAGTTAATATTGTTTTTGTAAACAAAACAAAAATTTCCTGCAACCTTTTTTATTACTTTGCAGATTTCTAGATGGGTAAAAAAAAATGTCCTATGAAAGACTGATTTTATTTTGATCTTGAGAAAAAGTTCACCTGAAATTGAAAGCATTGGCAACGTGGCAATCAGCATTTATAAACTTCTTTTTCAAAATGCTTTTTGCATGCATACGTCAAAGCACGTACTGTAAACAGCAAGAAACAAAACTGCACATATATACCAAGGATAAGGATCAGCTTTCCCAAGTGGGGAAATGGAAAATGTTGAGCACATAACATCCCCAAGACCATAACTGGTCTGTGGCAGCCACAAATAAAGCCTAGGTTTCATAATTTTCAGTCACATGTTTTAACCTCTGTGCACAGCCTCAGCCAAATGCTAACCTCACATTTAAGGTGTCTCATTGGAAAAGACCACTTACCTCTCTTAATTTTCTCTGGTGCCTTTTTGCAGTGTTTGGTGCGTAAAAGGACAATATATAGTGAAGCCCTGTATGGGAACTGCTGAGTTCAGGCCTGAACCTCTGATTGACCACCTGAGGCGAGCACTGAGTCAGCCACAGGAGCACAGGTGAAGGCAATTCAGCTGTGTGCCGGAAGGGGGGGAGCCTGGCTGCACCTCTCCTAGACCTATTGAAGAGCTGGCTGCCAGTGGGGAAGGGTCTCTGCTGGAGATCTGCTCTGCTGGAGTTTTGTGACTGAGCCCAGGATAGGGGTAAGCTTTCTATCTATTTTCTTTTTGTTATCATAGCCTGTTTTGCCTAATTCTTTTATTTATTGCGTCTTTATATTCATTGATTATGCAAGCCCAAATCCCAAGCACAGGACTTGGGAGCTCCCGCCTTCACATTCAGCCTTGTGCAGATAATGCATTGGAACAAACCCATGTTTCAGTCTGTGAAAGTGTTGGATCAGTAACTTTCCTCTGTTTCAGAGGCTACATGGCATTTGAATTGGTTGATTATTAGAATACCAAGGCTATTTATGTATTCCATAAGACACAGTATCTTTGTATCGCTTCTGCTGGACTCCATTTTAGGTGGCCTAGAGAGAAAAGCAGAAAATCCCTGCCTGTAGAGCAATTGGGCTCAGTCCATTTGCTGCTGAGTGAAGTACTTCCCTGTCTCTGCCTGGGCAGACCTGCCCAGGATGGACCTGCGTGTGGAAAAGCAGCTGGAGCATGGGGAGCTGAGGGAGATGTGCTCACCTCACTCACCAGTCAGAAGTAATCACGGGCATACAAAAATTACTCCATTAGTCACTGTCATGAGAATATACTTTTTTAACCCAAACACAGTTCATGGAATGGCTAAGTAAAATCGTTAAGGGAATGCACCTGTCTCTGGCATTTGACCCGAGGAGAAAGGGTTATCTAAAAATACTAGATAAATTAATTCCTTTCACACTTGTTCAAGGAGACCAACTAATGGCAGCAATAGCAGACAGTGCTTTTTTCGCTGCAGGGGGTGTCTGTTTGGTTCATACAGCTAGCAACAATTCTTAGGTGACTTGTGTCATATATTTTTCTAATCCTATCTGAGTACCTGGTTTTGATGAGATTAATGGCTCAGAATTTCTGAGACACTTATTTACCATGCGGGAAAAAGGATGTATCTGCCGAACATATCTGTGCTCTGAAGTCAGAAATCGCCTCCCGTTGTGAAAGGGAGACAGAAGTGGCTGGAGAACACTTCAGCTGCTAACGAGCTGCTTTATAACCTTGCCCCTGGCATTTACCAATTGCCATTTAAAAGGCAACTTTTACTAAGCGCTTATCGGGCAGCATTGTGCTATTTCCTATTCTGAGTGTTGCTGTCAAGAACGATATGGTTTCAGAACTCTTGTTGTCTCTAAAACCATGCTTCTTCTGCAGTAAAACAGTTCTGCTACCTTTTGAGGTCTGTTACAGCGGTGTTGGAAGCCCTTCTGTTAGCAAACTTCCAGGGAAGCAAATTCACATTTATTTCCCCTGAAAGTGAGGCACTGACAGCACTAAAACAAGCATTGTATCAGACAGGCATTGTAGAGGGCTTGCTCTCTTCCAGCCACATCATGTGTCTCTATGGGAGGTGTGGAGAAATTGAGATATTTCTTAGTTAACTTCTGCAATGTTTTGTTGAATGGCTGTTGTCTGTACTTTGAAGAGCAGGTTCTGACAGTTCGCAGCATCTCCTCAAATCCCATACTCCAAACTCTGCGTGATGGAAAAAGCTCTGCACTCGGTAAATATACAGCGAGGTTCAGCTGCACAATGCCTATTTCTTGATAAAATCTATAATGGTTGAGGATCTAAATGCTCCTACAGATCTAAGCCCAACTGGCAGAGCATGAAGAGGAAACAGCTTGTGGAGGCCTGACGGAGCAGGGCTTCTTTGTCAGCTCCCAGCATGTTTTTCAGTTTGCAAAATTCAAGAAGTCAGAAAAAAGAATCTTTACAGTATTTATTCCACACCTGCAAAGATCTATTAAAAAGGAGGGTCAGGGAATTCTTGTTTTGCCTTCCCTCTCCAGTTTGAAACCTGAAGTCACTGCTGTGCCAGCCGCGCAGGGCAGAGTTCCCTTGGCTGGCTTAGAAAGCAACAGCTGTCCTGCCTTGACAGAATGTCACCAAGCAGCAGTGAAAGTGTATGCAAAATTACATGTGGCCCTCTTGATGAATGCTTGTTTTGATCATCTATCAGAGGGACTGGCAGTAGATCATCAGGCTGCCAGTCCCATCTGGAGACCTGGACTGGATTTGCAGAGGGCCTTTTCAGCTACCTTATGGGATTTATTCTGATGAATTTGTCCATCCATTCCTTTTCCAGAGAGTAGACATAGTTTACTAAGGCTGCACCAAATTCAGAGTTTTCAGAAGGTCAAAATGTCTCCCTCTGGGTCACTACATAGAAATTGCTAACACTTCAGAAATAAGCTATGTGGCAAACAGCCTTGGATGTATTTTTTCTTTTCTTATGGTCAGTTGTTCACAGTTCTCTGTGAGAAGTAAGCTGGTTTATACAGTCCCTATAGTTGCAGTGATACCTCATGCAATTCTCTACATAAAATAAACCTCCTTAAAATGCACTGGTGCTGCCTTCTCAGCCTGCCTTCTGAGTGCCACAAGCAGAGCTGCCAAAGTATATCCAGAGCATACTGAGCAAAGTTCAATAATCCAGTCTGCTGGACCCTCACACATGTCTGTATTTGAAACAGAATAGCAAAATAGGCTCAGACACATTTATTTTTAATGCAGGCTGATCAATGTGATCTGGTCGCAGACGTATGGAAAACTGAAAATCCCAAACAGGATCCAATTAATAAAGACTCCAAGTTACTGAAGAAGAGAAAAGGAAACCTGTTAACAAAGAGGGAGAAGGTAAAAACATTGCTAAGAAGAAAGGTACAACTTTACAACAAACTCTAATAGTAGATGATCTGGCCTGTAAAATGCTATAGCCTGTTGTAAAGAGCAGATGATTACAGTGGTTAATTAAACACCAGCCCAGCAAGTAGCTCTGTTGGTCAGGCAGAGCATCTCAGCCTGGCACACCCCCAGCATCTTCAGTTGGAAATCCAAAATAACTTCTAATTTTCCCCAAAGAAGACAGGTTTTACTGTAGTCAACTCATACTTTTCAAATGTTTTATCATCCTCCAAACAGTGCTGTTTTTTTCAATCACATTTTGGTTGATTGCAAAACTATCAGCAAGTTGTAGCTGTGTAAGTTTACTGAGTGAATAACTACAGCCTGACGAGTTGCAGCGTGCTGATTGTGTAGGATGAGAGAGGGCTTACAAGGTAGTTGGGTAATCAGCAAAGGAGAAACCTTGCAAGTTTTCAGAGCACAAAACCCCCATTGTAGTTCACAGGGAACCAAGAGTTTCCAGAGTAGGTTCCAAGTGGGATGAAAGAGTGGGAAACTTTCCTTTTTTGGATAAACACAAATTCCTCTTTTACATTCGTAATACAATTGGAGTAATTGAATTCGATGGGCGCTCTGTTTTCTTCCATAATGATCCCATTCCTACACTGAGATAAACTACAGGCTTTTGGCCTCATGGTTAGTCCCCTTGGAAACCAGATTATTGCCTTTTAAGATAGAGCGCTCCAATTATCCTCTAAATAGTTTTGATTATTGTACTTACCCACACAGCAACAAAAGATGTATTATCCACCATATCACGTACAGTTTAGCTTCATCCTTGAAGGATACAGACAGATCTATATAAGGATTCATGTAATGGACTCATTTGGTAGCATACTTAAACAACACAGAGGCAGAAATGAGTGATGGATTTGCTGTATTAGTATTGCACAGCATTACTTCATTTTAAGCCACCTTTGGAAGGCTCTATTTTTTCAACAGTAGCCACAGAGTATTTGCAAGCAATATTAAATCTACGTGGAGGACCTCAGTGTTAAAGGAGGTAGAAGAAATTCACCTGCGATGAACACCCACTAACTTCAGAGTGGATGGCATATTTCAGTGCTTGTGAGAAAAAAAAAAGTCAGATTTACAGAATATCTTCAATGTGAACACAGACAGATGAGTACTGTTCAAGTAGGGAATACTTCTATCTCAGGAGACTAGTTTTGATTTTCCCTGATCACGAGTACAGTGTGTGTAAGCAGAGTGTAGCAATGGATAATTGCATGAGGCCTTAGCTGATTTATAATCGTTAAATGTCAGTCAGCATTACTTTTAGCAAGATTTTCTATCTGTATATCCATCCTTGGAACTACTGCTGGTGAAACAAATGATTCCTCCTGATAGTGACATTTTAGATATTAAAAAACGCTTTATTCAGTTCTTGTTCATAGTTTGTGAGGTATCCAAATACGTATTTGATGTATATATCTCAGTAGCTACCTCTTACTTAGCTTGCAGGCGTTATTCCAGACACTGCAAACATACATAGAAAATACAGCCCTTACCTCAGAAACTGACAATCTGGTGCCTAAACACTTCTGTCTTTTCTGCTTTTCAGAACAATAACATAAATGCTAAATCAGACACATACAACTTTTGTGGGAAGCCTTTCAGACTCACAGATGAGATACACTCTTATTAGAGTTATTTTGCCTTCCTCGGGAAGACTGCCTAGAGATCAAGAAAAACACAGAGGTAATATTGGCTGTGTTCACGAGAGCGTAATTCCCTTTGTTTCTTTCTCATTGCTTTGTTAATTAAAAACCCTCTAAGTCTGTGTTAAACTGCAATCTGTTAAGCCTGGCCCAGCAGGCACTGATGTCTGAGCTACAGTTCAACTGTCCTGTCTCCTCCTTCCCTGCTTAAGCCGCGTTCATGAAGTGCTGGTGGTAATTTTGGTGATACTGCCCCTTTGGAGCCTCCTCATATGCCTTGCCCTCCAGACCGTTCACCATTTCCATAGCCCTAAGTTTTGTTATCTTCCTTCAGAGTCTGCTAGGGGTGTTAATGGACAAAATCAGTCAGCTGCTTTTCTCCAGATGTAACCAGACATGCTAATTTCCTTCTATTTGGGTTATTTATTCTAGGTAAGATATAATTATACAACTTTGATCAATCGGTCCCCCCAAATCCTTTTAGCATTCAGTTTCTATGGTCAGCGTCTGTATGGAGCTCAGTTAGCCAACTCTTGCAAAAGCTTGTAATTTGCACAGATTAGACTGCTTCCTTCTCAAGTTTTCACATTCAGAGGGAGAATGGCTTGTCTGACTGCATCTCTGACCCTGCTGATCCCCATCTCTTCCAGGTGAACTGCTGTGGCTTCCATATTAAAGCATCTCTCTAATCCCCGTCAAAAGAACTCAATTAGAAAGATGTTATTAAAATGGCAAATGCAGAACTGAGAGAGAAAGCATGTTTGTGTGTGAATATATTATGCATTAGTGGCCTACAAAAGACAGAGGTGATAATTGCCTATCTGTAAAACTGGCAAACATTTTAGTGCAGCCTCTGCCCTCACTGGGCTTTGTTTTCCTCACTCAGTGACAAGTATTGCTCATTGATTTGCTCCAGCCATGTTCCCTTTGGCTCCTTGCTTATAGTCATTTGAAACCTAGCTTATATGAGAAGGAAGGGGAGCTTTGATACAGTAAGAACAATTTATCTACAAGGAATACTTGGGTATTCTGTTAAAAAATCTAATGCAATCCTTTTATCCTTACACAGTTCCTGAAAGCAGTTTGTGTTGTTTTTGAAAGACTGATGACTTTATTTTACTTGGGATGTGTTGTTTTTTCTTATACGCCTCCCTGCTGTTTTTCAAGGCACTGCAGATGTCCCCAGGGTAAATGTGATAAGACCAGAGGTACTTCCTATTAAGCTTTTTCCCTTTAATTACCAGTGGAAATCCCTGTTTACAATCCTGAATCTGTCTTCCTGTATACATGTGTCGTGACAGATACTTTTGCCCAATATATAACTTGGAGCACATTAAATGGCACCCAGACCAAGTATCTTGAGACATAAAAAGCTATCTCAAGAAGATTAAACTGCATTTTAAGGACAGCAAAGGCACAATTGTTTTAAGAAAAGAATTAAAATACAATGAGTTTTAGTGATAATTATTTTTTATTTATTAGGCAAAAAAATATCTGCCTTCTACATCTTCACATAGGAAAGGAGTTTGGAATAGGATTTAGTAGTATTTAATTCATTTTATCCCAGGGGGCACATTCCAGATGTTTGGTTATATCCTCTTTCCATTGGCTGTTGTTTTAAAGATGCTGCTCTAAGGCACCAATCTTCATCTCTTTCCTGAATCCCATAATTTTTCTTCTTCAGGTAGAACATGTACTATCAGTGTGGGTCTCCTGGGTCTTTTTATTCATATTTGCTCCTCTATCTAACAGCCACAATGTATACATCCAGTTCATCTGTTCTCCTTCTGAGAGGGAAAACAAAAAGGAATTCAAGAAGAACCTTCAATTTTCTTAGATACTGAAGCTCGTTAGATACTGAAAGACACAATAGATGTCCTTGGAAGTACAGAGGAAGATTGCATTTTGCTGCATGTCTGCTTAGGATGGAAATCATGACGTTCCCCGAGTACCCTGCAGTGTGAAAAGAACTAGGCAGGGATGTGTGATTTCCTCATGCTCATTGGTGCAGATGTGTTAGCAGGACCTATGATGGTCAAATTCCAGTTTTGATACTAAGACTGCAGAATGACGTAGGGAAGCAGATGTACATGGATAACTGAAGGTTTTTTTAGTTAAATATACTATAATGTTTTTTAACTACTGTGTCAAATACAAAAAGTTAAATTGAGCAAGAGTGCATGCGGATTACCACCAAGCTCAAATTGTTTGAGCAACCCATTCCCTCGTTAACACACAACTTTAAAAATAGCCTTTTTTGTTTCAAAATAAAGTTTTGGTTAGACATGTAAAATGATGAGAGAAAAAAAAAAAAAACACACCAAAAACTATAGGAAGCATAAAATTATAAGCCAAATACAAGGTTTTTTTAAAACACAGAACACTTTTTGGGTAAATAGAAACAAACAAACAAAAAAAAAAGACTTTCAGATCTACTTAAGATTCAAATTCCATCTTTCTTTCCCTTTCAACCACAGTACTGCTTCCTACTGTGAAACAGCTGGAAGTCTTTGATAATGCAGTTCGAAAAAGTTTGATAGTTTAAAACAATTTATCTCTGACACTGAAAGTAGTCTAAACATACCAGTATGGATCTCAACTGAAACTAATTTACCCTGTTTTCTTTTACCCAGCTTCACTCAAGTTAGCTTAATCTCTTAGCTGGTCACGTGCAAACAGCTTTGAATCACTTGATTTTAAGATAAAAAAAACGTTTGCTCTTCCTTTTTTATTAGGTGATCAAACAGCTTCTTCCTCTCTCCCACAGCACGCAAAGAGTTTGATTTATTGCCAACATATCTCCTAATCATAGAATCACGGAATCACAGAATCACAGGATTGGAAACTATCTATAAGATCATCTATTCCAACCGTCTTCTCTAATCCTTCTGCTTCTAATTAATTATTTTCTTTGAGCCGGTCAGCTTGAGTACAAAGTCATCAAATCATAGCATCATTAAGGTTGGAAAAGACCTCTAAGATCATCTAGTCCAAATGGCCACCTAGCATGAATATTTCCCCTAAGCCATGTCCCTCAGTGCCACATCCATATGGTTCTTCAACACCTCCAGGGACAGTGACTTAAACACCTCCCTGGGCAGCCCGTTCCAGTGCATGGCCACTCATTTGGAGAAGAAATTCTTCCTAACATCCAACCCAAGCCCCCATTGGCCCAACTTGAGGCCATTCCTTCTTATCCTATCGCTATCATGTTGGAGAAGAGGCTGCTGCCCACATCACCACAGCCTCCTTTCTGGAAAATGTCAGACATTTTGATTTTTGTAATCCCCAAAGGGCTCTGCTATGTAGAATATCTTCTGGAATACAGGCAACACATTTAATTTTTTGAATGTTTAATTTTTTAAATTTTTTTGAATGTTGAAAGTTTAAGGTGGAAGTGGTTGACTTGTGGGAAATAAGCATACTGCTTCACTTGCTGCTTTAATGAAGTCCTGGAGAGCCTGGGCTTCTTTATGGAGTTTGCTTTATTATACTGACTTATTACCAATACTTGCAAGGGGCTCTTATCTCTCCCACAGAAATGACATTAACTGCTTTACTGACACCAGTTAGGAGATTGTGCTTCTGCACAGCTTTGCATGGAACAGCACGTGGGAGCAGGTAACGGGAACTGGCACTGCTTCTTGCAGGGTCTGTGCAGTTCTGTATGGTTGGTCACCTCCGAACTCATCACATCTGGCTTTTCCTCATACTTCAAATGCAGGCTTGCCCTGAAGCAATTGGAGAGCTGTAAGCGTGGTAGGAGCTCAGCTAACACAGTATGAGCTCTCTGTCCTTTTTTCTTGCTTGAAAAAGAGCAGGACCTCTGCCCTGCTTGGGAATTTTCTGAGGGCCGTTTCCAGAAGGTGTAATTTGCAGCATTAAAACAGATGAGCCAGGTAAATGGCTCAGAGACCTGCTGCTCTCCTGCCTGCTTGAACCTGCCTTCCTGAACTACATTGCTGGTGCTTAGTTGCTGACTCTGGCTGTCTGATCAATTCCCATAAATATATGTTAGCCAGTAATACATTGCTATAGCAAATGAAAAATACACAGACCAGAGGAGCATCTGTTAAGCTTCTTTTCAATACTCTGTAACAAGATTGATGATCCTTCCAGCTCCCAGTCCTGCTCCTGTACGTTCACTGCTAATATGATCAGGAGCAGCTCTCCATTCAGTAAACCCCACAAACAAGTGTCCCTGAGTGGCTTATCCCCTGCAGGACGGCGATGACCTTGCAGGCTGTCTCACACCCCTAGCTCAGGATGGACTTGCTGTCCTCTGCAAGGGGGAAGAACTCACACAACTGCAGAGCTGCAGGTAGCAAGATGCTACCAACATGCACCAGCTGGCCAGCAGGCTGGAACAAACAGTGTACATTGCTGCCCCTGGTTGCGCGCACATCGAGCTCCCCTAGCTTATCTGTTAATTGCTCTGACCTTTTTGTTTACTTCCTGCTCAGGAATCTCAGAACTTGCTGCACTAAAAATGTCTTCTGGATTGCAGCACCAAGCAAACATTGACTTAACCTTTTCCGTTACTCTATGTCAATATTTCCAGCCTATTCATATGCATGTCTTATCGCACTGGATAAAGCAGGGTTGTGTTTGAAACTAACGCTCTTTTATTTATATGGCAGTATTGTACTGTGCAGGCACATGAAGAACCACATGAATGTCTTTAATAAAAAGCTTAACCCTTATCAAACAAAGAGCACGCATCCATGGAGTGCCAGCACAGCACAGCTCCCATTCCAAAAGACTTTCCGCTCATCACCAGCTTCGCACTCCACAATCTCTTATAACTCAGAGCACCAGGCATTGCCAGCAACAACCCCTGCTTGTTCCCAGTTACAGCAAACAGGAAGAGCAAGTTATTTTAATTAAGTGAGTTGTGTTTACAGCTCAGCCTTCACTCGTGGGTTGCATAAATTGGTGGTTGATCCAGGGGCAGTCCCAGGTTGACCATTAAGCACTTCAGGACTGTCGACATGCAGCAGTGAGCAGTGCCATGGAAAATATCAAGATCAATTGAGTGTTTGGGCCC